TAGTGGTTTTCACCAAACAAAAATGCTACTTGAAGGCAAGGTTTTTTCAGAGTTATTGGCAAATGGCTGCGAGCCTAGGATTATTAATGAAAGCGTCTTTATGACCATGATTAGGGATTAATACAAGAATGGTGCAATTCTTACTTAGAATGGGAACAAAAATTTGTTACATCAACGAGAATTTATAATCTTCAATAAGTGTCACATTGTTATTGTTTCCAATACGATTTATTAAAATCTAGAAAGTATATTAAGGGAGGTGGTGACTTCTTTATGTACTTGACATGACACAATTTGATAGACAACATGGCAGAAGGTAGTAAAAAGAGTAAAAACAGGGGTAGGGCAGCAGTTTGGTTTAGAGAAAATTAATAACAAAATAAAGACCTGTTTGTGAAAGTACACAGACCTTTATTTGGTAAATATCTCTATTGTCCCACTAAGCCTATGTATATTTTATTGATGTGACTCAGCTGACGATGTATGAAGTGTGTCAAACTTACTGTCGGTATCAAATAATTATATCACTGTTGATGTAATTAATCACCCTCTAAAACGTAAAACAAGGTTAATGTGTGAATTGTACTGAATTTATTGTTAAACTAATATTTATATGAAAATAATGTTGTAACGTGTCGAGTCCAGCTTGATTTTCAATACAAATATCACAGAATAACTTATTTATTAAATGAATGATGTGGAAATAAAAGTGTAACAAATATCACTGTGCAACATATTTTTATTGAATAAAACTTGAAAATAATTTTTTCAGCTAAAACATTTGCTAATAGGAGCATTCTGATATATTTAATTGGTTGGTGACCTTTATTTCTAGGTTAGAAAAACATATTTTGAAAGAAAAAAGCTATCATAGTATCACAATAGTCTCTTGACCATCGCAATAATATTACAGTAGTAATATGACCCCTACGACTATGTTGGTTGTGTTGTGCAATGTTGCCTTCCAATAGCAGTTTGTGTTTATCAGGAAGCCGTGAAATAGACTTTTTCTAAGCTGTTGTGGTTGTGTCGTTGAGCAAGACACTTCAAAACAATTAACCAATTAATCAGGAAGAGATGTGATTATCCTTCCACATACATGTAATGAGGCAGCCACTAGCTATGGTGCTATACTAGTGCTGACTACTAATATTAAATACAGAGACTCACATCAGAATTATGAACTTTACTGTGTAAAATTGAAGTCTCTTTTAATCATGATAAATTCTGTTTTCACTGACACTATCCTTTGCGTTAACTTTATGCTAAACTTTAGTGTTGAAATTTCTGATTCACCGTCTTTTTTTTCTGTTTTCAGTGGTTATATAAGGGGAGATAATTGTGCCATCCCTTATCACATCTCATTTCAGCCAAACTATGATAACGGTGCACTTCTTACAGTGGTAGGTATAGTTTTGTCACATAATTTCCAATATGTTCAGTGACCCCCATCATATATTTGCATATGACGTTGATACATTCACAGATGACTTTGTGACATAACAATGAAGACCATAGGTATAGAGCAGACATTACATGAAATTTTGTGTAAAAATGTTTCTACCTGACTTTCATGAAAAATTGATGAAAAGGAAATTAAGCTTATTTTGTTATGTGATTTTTGAAACTTATCACAGATTTTTCGTTTTTCTAAATTGAAAAATCATTAGACTTGATTTACATAGGAAATGGAAACTCATGTAAGGTTCTATGTATTGAATGAGGAACATTATTTTATACACCTGTTTTCATTTTTTCTTGTATTTAGATGTATTTTTTGTTTGTCATTGGCTCTAAATTAGATACTATATATCACTGTAAGTATGTGTCGATTAACTTTTTTTAAACTGAAAATATAAACATTTGTTGATTTTTTATTACAGCAGACATTACATTTAACCTTTTTTTATTCTGATTGATATCCATATGATTGAAAATCACATATCTTGCTTATTTGAATATCTGAATGTCTAAATATGTGAAAGAGGCATTTTAAAGAAATCAAGGAAAAACCTTGAAACTAATATCATTGTTGATGGCCTGGTTGTATATTTCAGCATTTCCAAATATGTTAAATATAACTTGTGTCATTGTTCTACTTTGTAGGTTTGGTCGACTGGCAATGTGGCCTACATTCCTCTTTACTTTGTCGCCAGTGATGTCGTGGAATATCACAGGTTTCAACAGAATGCACCAATGTTGAACGGACAAATACTTTCTCCAATTCAGTCTGTCTCTTGACACCACTTTGACAATGACATTTAGCCTGAGGACTGTAATTGTGTTCTAAAAGACCGTGGATGTGATTGACTTGGATATTCTTCCTGTCTTAATTGTTCAGTTTTGTTAATACGGTGATGGAGAATTCTAAGAAACAAGTGAGATAGATTTCCTGTCAAATTGTTAAGATGCAGTTTATATATTGATAGGTATTCATGTTTGGATGACTTTTGCTGACTTTGGTGCAATGATTATTTTTAACCTTCCAGTTATTAAAGTACTTGCAGGCTATTTTTTCTTGTCCTGTCTGCCTGTTGAAATATTCATCACATTTTGCTCAACTGTCTTAAGATCTGTTCCACTGCCAATAACTGTTTCTGGTTGTTATGCTTTGTATATGAAGGTTTTGAAGATATTTGAATAAATGAAAATAATTGCTAAATATATGCATACTGAAATTTTGTGAAATTTGCTAAAAAAATCCAAATTTGGATCGCAGAGTTAGTACATATGTAATAGCTTGACATCTACATATAATTACTATATAACATGATGTTATGATGATCACTTAATGGATTATATTTGTACAGAATTAACATGTTTAACAGTGTACTTATAGGATTTAATGCAGACTTGAACGATGTCATGTGTGAATTAAATGTGTTAATGAATGTGTTATACTGAATAATGACCGGAAAGTGCTGTTTGATCATGTGATTTTATACTTTTATGAAAGTGTACATAAAGATTTTGACATGTTGTTTCATAAACCTGCTATTTAGAAATACATGTGTATATGCCTGTATGAATTAGATATTGAGGAGTAGAATAACTTCTTTATCAGTTATTGAACAACTGAACACAGTGTTAACAAATGTAATATATTCTTTCATGGATTGGATTGTCATATATATTTTCCAACATGTTATAATCGCGATCATGATAGTGGTATGATAGAATGTAAAGAGATACTGTGAATGTGATATGTCATTGTTTATGAAAGATGTAATGCATTTTCAGAAAGTTTAAATAAAAGAATCATGGACAAGTGACTTATTTTCCATTAGCTGTAGATTTGTGTAGGAGAATGTCAGACTTTGCTGTGCCGCCTTATATAGTTCACTTTGCAGCCTAATTAATCAATCTGAGTTAAAAAATGGTCCCAAATTACTTTTAACTTTTCATGTTTCTTGTCATTTTGCAAATCGATTTGAAATCTCAGACTATTATCATGATCTCAAATGGGTTAAAAAGTTCCATTTCTCTAAAGAACATTCATTATATTTTAGATATTAGGAGCTTCCTGTACCATAGTAGTTTTAAGCTTCAGTTAACATTACACTTGTAGATTAGAAATTACCATAAGAACATTTCAGAATGACCACAAGAGGATGGAGGATTGGGGGGACCACCTATAGGCCATCTTGGTCACCACAAGATGATGGAGGGGTGGGGGGGTCACCTGTAGACCATATTGGTCACCACCACAATATGATGGAGGGGTTGGGGACCACCACAAGATGATGGAGGGGAGGGGGACCATCTGTAGACCACATTGGTCACCGCCACAATATGATGGAGGGGTGGGGGACCATCTATAGACCACATTGGTCACCACCACAAGATGATGGAGAGGTGGGGACCATCTATAGACCACATGGGTCACCACCACAAGATGATGGAGGGGTGGGGGACCATCTATAGACCACATTGGTCACCACAACAAGATGATGGAGGGCTGGGGGACCATCTATAGACCATACAGGTCACCACCACAAGATGATTTAGGGGTGGGGGGACCATCTATAGACCACATTGGTCACCACCACAAGATGATGGAGGGGTGGGGGACCATCTATAGACCACATTGGTCACCACCACAAGATGATGGAGGGGTGGGGGGACCATCTATAGACCACATTGGTCACCACCACAAAATGATGGAGGGCTGGGGGACCATCTATAGACCTCATTGGTCACCACCACAAGATGATGGAGGCCTGGGGGACCATCTATAGACCTCATTGGTCACCACCACAAGATGATGGAGGGTTGGGGGAACCACCTATAGACCACATGGGTCACGTAGTTTCATATGAAATAACCACCAGGACATGTCAGGATAAACACCTATAAAATCTGTTGATCCTGAGTTTAATCTCAGAACATAGTTATTACACAAGAAACGTTGGTTGTTTGCCGTGTGATTCAGTATTATTCATTTTTTGACCGTTCTAGTTGCTATTCACTGGCATTTGTTGTGTAGAAATCTTTGAAAGAAACATTGTGCTTATATTGATGTCGACAGTTAACCTTGCAGTGGAAAGACGTTCTTTTTAATTTTGATGGAATACAGAATTGCTAAGTACAGATTGTACAAAAGGCACAAATTTACTTAGAGTGGGACCAAACAGTGAATTAAAGTGCATCATACAGGACTTGTAAGTGATGCTACATCACACAGCTGTTTCATCCTTCCAGGACACGTCAGTGATGCTACATCATACAGCTGTTTCATCCTTCCAGGACACGTCAGTGATGCTACATCATACAGCTGTTTCGTCCTTCAAGGACTTGTCAGTGATGCTACATCATACAGCTGTTTCGTCCTTCAAGGACTTGTCAGTGATGTTAAATCATACAGCTGTTTCGTCCTTCAAGGACTTGTCTATGATGTTTGATTTTGGTTCAAAGCATTCTTGGGTGAAGAGAAATCAATTTTGTATAAACAGGAATTCTCGGCCCCATTAGACGGAATATGCGGGGTCCAATTCGGGATATAGAGGGTAAACATGAAATCCTGTTTCTCCTGCAGGAACGATTTGATTTTTCCAAATCTAGTCTGAAGCATTCTTGGGTGGAGGGGAATCAGTTTTATATAAATGATCGGTCTCAGTAGTAGTAAGTAGTGGAAATAGAGGAGATTCTGTAAACTCTGATTCTGTCCCAATTTGGTCTGAAGCATACTGTAGGTGAAAGGAACCTAATTTTGTATCAACCAGGTGTGTGACATCAGAACTGTGGCCAAACTGGGGAAATGTAAGGATATTATCCGGTCTGAGACAATTTTTATATTTTATATTTCAGAAATTATTTGTCATATTTTAATTTTAAAGAATTAGACAGGTGAGCGATTCAGGCATCAGCATACATCATGAAGATGAATATCTATAATCGAGAACGATAAGATGTATGCCAGAGAAATTGCGATCTAAATCCCGTTAAATCCCGTTAGTATATCTGGTGGTTCCATTGTTAACGAAGTAGACTGATTTAGATTTCTAACCTCTTTGATCTTCAGGTGATGAAAGGTGCTGATCATTTGTGTGTGTTTTGTACAACCACTGAAGATTATACGTTGAAAAATGCAAATTGTTATTGTGTCGCCTGGATAGACTTTGCTTTCCGAGGTTGAATAATGAAAGTGTCTGTTAATCAGAACATGTGAATTGAACTGATGGATGCAATTATCGTTACTCGTAGAAGTTAATGTCTCATTCAAGGACTTAATTTTTCGTAATACATAATGGTATACTGTAAAGGTTTGACAACGAGTACATTCAGTTTTGTATACCATTATACCTTATTATTAAAATTCAGCGAAGGTAACCTGGTTTATATCATGGATGTAGAGATTAATTTGGTTGCTATGTTATTGGGATAGTACATTGACCACGTTTTCATTTATTTGTATAGTTGCACCGTTCAGAATATACACGTGTACTTGACGCTGTTCTGAAATTTAAAAAGTACGAACTTTATTTAGTTATAGGTCTACTGCAACTCCACGACTAGATTTTGACTTTTCTTTCGACCATTTTAGACTTTCCTCATAAAAATTAGGCCCTTAGCATTACTGATGAGTCCTAGAAAGACAAAACAGCTGTATGATGCAATTAAATTTATTGTTTGGCTTTACTGTATCTAACTATAATCATTGAAAGGTGCTATTCACTTGTGTGTCACCATCTAGATTTTGACGTTTCTTTCGATCAGTTTTGGTTTGCCTCATTCTCCTCTTAAATTTTAAAATCAAGGTACTTAGTATCCAGGACGAGATCAGTAGGACGAACTGACTGTATGATGCCGGTAAATGTTTAATTAGTTATTATTTTATCTTATTTTGAATTTGTATTTACAGGTGCTAAACACTTGTCTGTGTTTTATAAAATCTTTGAATACAACCGTTTTCTCATACTGTGTCCTCGATACTCCAGCTGTTATGATGTCTTTCGCTCGCTGCACCCCTAGAACATGTCATGGCAAAATTGAAGGCCCAAGCACGACACCTTGTGGAGAAGACGAGAAGACTTGTTTGATCCTTTCATGTACATCAAACGAACCTAGAGCTCGCATATCAGTACTGGCACTAAAGAATGGTGTTGCTCCTTTGTAATCTTCAAACGAGCGTATAAGTCTGTGATTGGTCAGTTTTTCTTTTCTCCTGCTACATCAATCAAATTACTTCGCTTGTGCCTTTAATTTTGCCACGGCATGTTTCAGGGGTGTAATGAGATCTGTGTAACAATGATCGCAACCCCTGGAGTATCGTGGACGCACATACCAAGCTTCCCTGAAATATCTAACAAACAACGTATGAAATATAGTAACACAAGATTTATTTCAATAGAATAATAAAAAAAAAAAATTATGCAGCTGAATGAGGGAATGATGAAACACTTCAATATAACATATGAACTACTTGAAATAAGATATATAAACATTGATGGACAAACATCTTCTCTTAATAGCACTGTTTCGTAGACCCTCAGGTGCACAAGTACTTTATTTTAATCTGTCGTCTATTTACTTGCGCACATATTTCTATTATTGTCAAATTAACCAACACCACCTTAAACACAGTAGACGAAGGAGTGTTTGTAAACGACACATGTAAACTTATTTATGATTTGTCTTGGAAATAAAATAAACAGAAACAACCCGTACAACACATTAGTACCATAAGATGCATCCTCGATACTTCCAGGATTACAATCACTTTCGCTCTCTACACCCCTAGAACATATCAAGTCAAAATTGAAGGCACAAGCGGATTAATTTGATTGGTTCCAAAAGAAAAAAACTGACCAATCACAGGCCGATACGATCTTTTTGAAGATTACGAAGGAGCGACAATTCACGTCAAAGCAACAACAATATACCGTTATGCAACCCTAATATTTGTTTGGTGTACACCAAGGATCAAGCGAGTCTTTTCGTCTTGTCCTCAAGGAGTCGAACACGGAACCTTCAATTTTGCCATTGAATGTTCCAGGGGCGTTCCAGAGAGCGAAAATAATCGTACCCAAGGAGTATCGAGAATGTATAAGCTAGGAAAAATCAATGTATGTAATTTAAAATATACCCAGAAACACTGCATTTGAGAACTGCAGATGAGCACCACAAAATGTTTAATTTGTAAAAATAGTGATAATATGTCATTGACATAAAACAACGGGAAACACAGTCTTAGGTTGTATGCTGTTTTAGCCAAGCTCATGTGTTCTTGATTGAAGATTATCAATGAATATTTTATAACAATTTCAATACTATTTGTATTCTCTCAGGTAAAAATTGTTTGAAAGATTGATGATATCTAAGATATATCGACATGAAGGTGATCCCAAGTTGCGTGAACAGTCGAACTTCGTTATCTCGAACTTATGAATTGAAGACTCGCTTTAATTCGAAGCATTTCATCGGTCCCAGTCAAATTTCACATCTAACATTCGAACTTGCTTAAATTTAATTCTCGGACAACACGAAGTAACATAAAGCCGACTTCAAGATAATGAGTTTTGACCGCATTTACAAGAGAGGCTTCAAAGGTTATAAAATTATAAATGCACTACAGTCCATTATTGAAAGAAAATCCAAAAGTGTACGTAGAATAAAGAGGGCGCAATTTCAAAAAAAATGCTGTTATACCAACATTCATGATGATGAAATAAGTCAAATTTGCGAAGGAACCGGACTCATTGTAAAGTAAAAACAGTTTAACAAAACTTCCGTTCTTGTCGTGACAAGACTCTATCATTTTGGACATATGTATACACAAATTGCCAAATATTGTTTTATAACTATCCGCTCTGTTAGAGTATCAAAATTTGTATTTCTGAAAAAAAAGGAAAAAAAAAAAAAACCTAAAACTACCAGTCAAGCTAAAGGAGTTTAGTTTTACTTAACCTAAATAATTAAATTATTATATGCTGTCTTGTATCTTATTGTTTGTTATTTGTTCATATATATTTGCGTAGATATATTACTTACAGAAAGAGCAAAATTCATTATTTTGACTCTGTTTAAAGTTTGACAGTAAGATCCAAAACACACGATTCGTAAAACAATAATTTCCTAAACATGACATACCTGTAGTCGCAGCGAAAAACACTTTTGAACAGAACATGCTTTGTTCTATACACACGAAGCATCCAAACGATCCAAAATTGCACAGAAGTTGATATATTGAAGAAAGCATTCATTTTAACTACTAACGTAAGGGTGTAGAGATTCTTGTTGCTTTTAAGAATTCTGAGAATAAACAATACACATACTGGATTTACAATTAGAAAAAATATCAATATTTAGGTTAAATAGGTAAAGAATGATTTTATATAAATGATTAATATAATCAACGTGAAAATGAATACCACACATATAAAGGTCTGTATTATTTATACCCTCATGAATAGGGAAATATGTATGAATATTGATGTCCCCAAATTGTATATATTGCAGTATTAACTTCAATATGAATTTTACTGACATGAAGGTTAATGTTACGATATGGCGACTGCTGTGACAATTTACTAAGTGATGAATGCACTTCTAAAACTGCATGATTTTACACGCACAAAGAACAATCATGATGTATGTTTGGTAAATGGAGATATGGATGGTTTTTATGAGTGAAGTAACTTTATAAGTGCGACATTCGATGGGGACTTATAGGTGAATTGAACCAAATGCATATCACATATAAGATGTATTGATACCAAATGTGATTTTTTTGTGGAAAAATACGAGTTTGTACAGATATAAACGCGGCAAAAAACGCTATCATACATATGTGTCTACTGTAAAAAGCTACAGGTGTATATCATCGAGTCTTTATGAAGACTAATATCTCATATGTAAAGATAAATAAATTACACGTAAATTTTATCTTACCTGGTTAATTATATGCAAAACGATAAATGCATGACGAGTTTATTCAACAGACACAGGCTATCAACGAAGACAGACATTCGGGTCCACTTCAAGTACGATTATCGCAAATATATACAACTGAGGCTTGAATTTGTGAAAAATACATGATTCAATTTAAGAATAACATGAAACACACAAATGAACAGTTTATTTTCTACTATGAAAGCAAGCGAGTAAATTTTAGTGATCCGAAACGAATTCTGCCTAAGTTACATCAGCAGTCATAGATGTGCAGAATGTTTCTGTATTCTCAATGTAATAATTCGTAATGATACAACTGAGCGTGATTTCAAAGAATGATGACATGCTGTCAAATCTCGACAATCTTCAAATCAAAAATGAATTCTAATTTTTATTTCTTTGGAGAGGGAGTAGGGTTAGTGGAGTGAAAAATTGATTACATACGATATGCTGTAATATAAATATGGACAAATTTAAAAAAAAACTTTTCAACACGTTGTCAGAAGGTTTCCAGTTATTCCTGAGTTTGAAGTGTTGATACAAAAAAAAATGATATTCGAAACAAAAAGTTAATGATGTAAGAAAAAAATATACTACATAATAAAACAATGGTGTAATAAAATGAAATTGACATTAATCTAAAATCTTTAAAACAAATTACCCCAACACACCTCATTTTCTATATATATATGATATATATATATAAAATATCAACTTTAATTATTTTACAACAATTGCGAAACAAGGAATTTGAACTTGTTGGCCCGGATGTAAGCGTGCAATGGGTTTTATGGTAGTAAGAAACCGGAGTACCCAGGGAAAACCCACGTGTCGGACTGGTGAACCTCCTACCTTTTCATGTCCGTTCTGGGAATCAAACCAGTCAATCTATATTCTAACACATTTAAGTAAAAGTGTGCTACCACTGCGTCATCCGACCTCCCAAAGAGAAATCTTATCAAAACAGAAAAGTGACTAAGACAATATAACTAGTGCGTTGTCATATTCCATCCTAAAACTGTATATATTTCTCATCATGTTGAATAGCAATATGATGGGGACGGTGAAAGTAAGAGAAATACTTTTCAGTTTTAATAACAAATATCGAAAGTTCACGAAGAACATATGAAGAAAATGTTTTTACACGGTCGTGGTTAAATGGATTGATATGTATTACTATGAAAACTACTCTGATACACATTCTGCAAATCTTATACTAAAGTACTTGTATGTGAGGTGTGCCGTTCTCCATAATTTGAATTATTTATTTTTATAATTACATTACGTTTTACATACATAAATAAATTAATAATCATATTAAGTAAAATGGTGAAAAAAATGAAATGGACAACATTCAAAATGGAATGAAATACCAAAAATTGTCGACAGGTCAGTCATTGCCGCATATGGCAACTCTCTCTCTCTCTCTATCTCTCTCTGCTGTTTTGATGGATGCCTTCTTAACTCTTAAAAAAGGCGCTGCTGAAATCGTCTTTAAACAGATCCCTTTCATGCATCTTCCATAAATTTTACATAAATTTTACAGCAACTCAAAGTGATCGACTTTGAGAAGTTCTAGCACTTTTCTATTATTTTTTGGCGTTTTGGTTTGAATGGAAACCACCACTCTGTTTTCTGTCTTGTAATGATCTGCTCTCTCGCCGATAATCGCATACTATATATGTAGTTAAGAACATTATGAACAGATTGATGACTTCAAATTCTGTTGAACGACTTCTTCAGAATATCACGTGATCAATTTTCTGAAGTTTAATTGCGATGCTTCAAGCGAAAGATTGTACCGAAACGGCCATGTTACACTCATTATTGAACAATACAGAAATCAGATAATTTCCATTATCTTTCAACAGGAAGAATCGTTAGAAGAATCAGAACGGCTTTTCAATTCACATGGATGGCTTATTCCACCAATGCATTTGTTATCATGACATTTATAGTCGACTCTGTTCACTAGTCTTTTGATTTTTTTTTCTGTTTGGTAAGCTTATCCCATCTAATTTTTTTACCCTCTGTTTATTTTTGGTCATTACTAATATATGTATTCCATTGCATACGTTCTTGTCATTCACTTGGAATTCAGTATTTTCACGCATTCAATTGATTGACGCGATCAGCTGATAACGGAATGCGTTGCCAAATGCTGTTTCCTTTTCCATGGGTGAATCGTTCCCTTTGATCCGATACATAAAATGGCCATATAAATATTTATTTGTTTTTAACCTTCCGATTTTTTCCCCATTCATTTGCTTGTATTTCTATTCACTAAAAATACTTCCTGTTTGTGTCTGTTGAACAGGATTGTCTGCATTATCCACACTGAATTTCACATTTTTTAACGTTCATTTAAATTCAAAACTGTTTTGTCAAACCACAATGTTTTTCCTTATGTAAATAAAATATAGGTTCCATAGGTTACCTCCCTTTACATCCGTCTTCAACAACGTCTGCCTGTTGACACTCAAGTGTATGGTTATTATTCAAACAAGGATCTACTTCTTCACTCTTCGGCCACACCGTATCTAAGTGATTGTCAAGAATACTTTCCTGTGAAAGTTCACTTGTAAATGGGACTTTTTCCTCGATAATAGTCGGACAAGTATTCATTTCCATGGGATTGACTCTATCAGTGTACTGAATGGATCCATTCATGCCGTCGTTGCTAGGGTGATGTCGCGAACGACTAACACGGGACAGGAAAGACGATCTCGTGCGATAGCTCTCTGCTCTCCGGAGATGGCGTCTCATCCACGCCTTTTTTAGCTCTGACTGAACCTGTTTAATGATGACGTCAGCATTTAATTACGCAACCAGTTATGACGATATTATACTTTACATTTTATTTTAGCGGTAACATCTTAACGAAAAAAACATTAATTGACCGAAAACAATAAAATGATAATAATTATTAGAATAAAGGGTTTAATCCATGAATGATTTTTAAAATTCATATTGCTGAAATCACTGTTGCATTGTTTGAGGAGAAATCGCCACGTTTTGCATTAAACATTTGGCAGAATTGAACAAAATGTGCATCTTTTTCATGCTGGAAAATAACAAGACACGGTTGTAACAAAATAAACAATAAAAAGAGAAATGTAGATGAAAGAGAATGTATGATGAATAAATATTCAGAATAGGCTGCACAGAAAAGTTTCCTACACACAATAGCAAAACACACTCTTTAAATATCCATTAGATATTTTTCACACGGAAGTAATATTGAGGTAGATAGAGTTCTAAAAGTAGACACCTGTATACATAAAGAATAACTGCTTTTGAATATCAAACTTTCATTTTCACTCAACTTGAATAATAATTACTCAAGATAAATTATCTGTATTTAGTTATTGTTAAATAAAGGCCTCATTACGAACAGCTAAAACTACGTGGGATTGTAGATCTGATTGCATCATAATAAGATGGGGGCTTTGTCGGCTCATTTTCTCCACCACGCCCTTTTAAGTTCTGATTGAACCTACAAAATAACGAACCACCAATCAAATTAACGAACCACCAAAACTACCTGTCAGATAAATACTGTAAAATCTCATATTTTCGTGGGAGTTTAGAAAACTACTAATTTTCTGAATACTTGATTTCATTAAAAGATATTGCTCTTTCAATTTTCTTATACTAATTTTAATGTACCTAGCTTATATTACTGAAATGAGTTCATGGATCAAGTCTACTCATGAATCCAACGGAAATATAATCCCACGAAAATGATTGATTTTTACAGTTTGACCATGAATTATTAAACAACTGATATTGACAATACTTTTTTTTAAAAAGATCATCGATGGTTTATCCGAAACGACATTTCAAGAATGTGTATATCACACAAGAACCAATTGAACAGTGAGGTGTACCATTATTCAAGAGGAATTTAAACACATATGAAACATGTACATTTGCTTATTATTATACTGGTTCTCGTTAGAGAAATAAATTTAAAAGTGAATTAGTCATATTCTAAAATATTGGAACGACATTTTAAGGTTAGGAAATGTATAGTACTAAATGTTATGGGTGGAACTCAATTCAATGTCAGTTCGTTTGGTTTTAAATGAAAAACACAATATTAGTTTAGTTTTGTTAAAAATGAATCATTCATATTGTTATAAACATCTCAATAAAAAGAAAAAGGTTGTTTGTTAGTTTAGTGCTAAACAACATTATTATATGTATGGTGGTTCGTTATTCGACACTAGAGACAGATACCTTTACATATATCCCACAAATGATTCATTTCTCGCGTACCTTTATTACAATCAATCTCATCACAACTATCATAAACTACCCCAGTAGGTCAAAGACTGGTGAGAGATAACCAGCGGTAAGTGAAAATTTCCAAATAAATATAAAGTTAGCGAAATTTCGAATATTCTTCATCATTTCAAAGCTGTACACTTGTTGAGACTGATCAGATTGATAAATTTGGAGAATTGAATTAGTCTTGAACGGGTTATATGTTTTTATTTAATTTTCACACAAATTGAGTAACTAAACTTGGTAATTTAGTTGGAAAATACGAAAATTAATACAGATATGTCAAGTTAAAATCCGAAGTGAAGACATGCAGGTTTATCTGTATTAATGGTATAACTGAAGGGTTGTGGAATGTTAGTATTTCTGATGAATGTGAAACATGCACACATGGGACACTGGTTAGTGCATTACAATGTCCCGCACAAAGGATATTCTTTACCTCTGCGTTGAGGAAACAAAACAGCAAAGACAGCAAAAATCCCTGAAATAAATCAAAGCAAAGAAAGATTATGGTCAGCAAGGTCAACTTTTATTACCAGAAATAGATATTCGATAAACTTGATATGTGATGTTGTTTAATTTCATCCTCCTAGAGATATCTCATAAAATAATAGAAATTGCCAAACATTTCTTTAAATTATTTCCATGTAGTTTAGATATTTCGTTAAACATTTTACAGATAAAAGTTAAGCAATATTATCTCTCTTTAAATATTGTGATACCTCTATTGAAATTAAAGATATGGTAACGAGGATATCTCTCCAGTAAGTTTAGAAATCTCGTTAAAGGTTTTACAGGCAAAGCAATAATATCTCTAAATATCGTGATACCTCTATTAAAATTCAAAATTCTAGTGACGGAGATAGTTCTACATGTTTAAGTGATATTTATAAAAGCAACCGTGACATGTCAGGTTTGGTTAAGAATACATTTCTTTGTATTTGTCCCCTCATAAGAGTAATTAAATCTGATATCTTTCCTAGAATAAGTTTATAAATTCACCTGGGATAAGTTAATCTGATATGAAGTAATAATTTACCTGGAATGAGTTACAGAACATCTCGACATACAGTAAATAGATGATAGCCTGCTGATCCATGCTGCCGAATGGCACATAGGTAAACACGATGTAATGGACACCAAAGAGTGGAATAAGGATCAGGGTTGATTTGGCTAACCTCCTGTAGGTGGAGAAAAACGGAACGAGTCACATGTGAACTGTCAATGTAAGTACAACTAATAATTTCCAAAAGGATTCCCTCCTTTTGAAACAATGCATTAATTTAATTTCAAAAATATGTCTTGACGGTATCTGTGAACATTTAAAATCAACTATGATTCTGATAACTTTCAAAATATTTCTGGATCAATTCATTAGAAATGTTAGTTTATTACATATATTCAGAACCAGATTTTGTCAAATTCTCAATGTACAGATGGGCATTTAATTTTAGATTGGAAGAAACATCAGATATGATCTCGGATTGATTTTATTTCGAAACAGTTCAAGGTACACTGGTATACGACGCTGTTTTACAATTATCAGATATATAAAGATGTAAAATGCATAGCTTTATTTCACGTTCATGTCAACTGTTCTATCTCTGCACTGCTTATATATTAGTGTATATTTTTGCAAGCTAAATACAATTAGTAATGAGTTTGGTCAATTCTAATTATGAAGTCAATATGTGAATATTGACTTATCAGCAGGATGTGAATTTTAGACAAGCAGCTACACATCATGGTTTTGCAGCTCGTTTCATTTTCCTATCGCATAGATGTTTTATTTTATGTATCATTGTAATCTGTCTCTACTTCTTACATATTTTTTTTTATTTCTAACTGATCACACTTATAATATCAAAATGGACAAATATGGTCTACATAAAAATATTTTATAATAAAAACTCATGGATAAAATTTATCACACTTAAAATACGTATCTAAGACAACGTGAATGAACACTTGCTGTATTCATATTTCTTGCGTTGGTAGATAAATACATGTTCACTAATGAGCTATCGTTCAATTTAATTTCACAACTCATGTGTCAGAGGTAATATACATTTTCTGTATCATACCACTGTCATCACAAAGTACTATACTAATGTGTACATGGTGATCTCTAGCATTAAGTGTCATATCGTAACCATAACTACACGAATGTAAGTTCTAATGGCATGCTTTAATGTTATGTTAGACATTTTCTTTGATATTAAGATAATAAAGCGTAAACAAGAGATCCGGAAGACACATTGGCACCCATCTTGGAGAGAGTTATGTATGAAAATGAAGTGAGGAACTTATGTATTGCATAGGTACCTGGTTGTTTTCTTAGACATTCCTATTTCTTTAAATGTACCTCTACATCAAAACTGATATTTCCACGTGAACTATGATACGAAAGAAATGATTGTCTTTGAGCAGAGTCGCAGATCTTATCATAGGTCACGGTGAGCTTGGTACGTCACACAGACGCCTTCTGCCTATTATGCTTATTTGGAGGAAGTTTGGTGATACAATATGGAACAAGGATAGGAGCTATGCTTTGAGCTGAGCTACGCCTCTAATAGTCTTGGAAAGGAAGGTATAACGATTTGAAAATTAGATAGGGCGATTCGGGACCAAGGGAAATATGCACTGACAGTTTAGAGAAGATCCTATAGACAGTCTTACATGCGAAGTGATTAGCGCTTACATACTTAATAATTTGCTAGGGTCTATGTGAGTATGGAGATAATCTGGTCTTTTAATGACGTTTAAACCACAGGTCTGTGAAAAACTTACAAACTATAATAAGACCACATTCATATATCTGTTTTAACAGAATCTTATGTCCCTGTGAATAAGCCATGGTCGTGTAAATCTATTGATTTTTTTGCGTGAAGTTTATTTTGACAGTTATATCCCTTTGTACACAAGATTTCAGGTTACTGGTGTTTACTTTCATTCATTCCTTATTCAAAGGGTTTGTTCACGACTGCCATGTCATACATCGGCATATTCAGAAAACTATTACTCAAGGCTTCGAAAGTTGCAGAGTGATGATGCCCATAGTATTAAAGGTTATCAACGCTGGTTGTCATTTTGAAAATGTGACGTATATCGTTGATGAAGCAGAAAGCACACCTATATACATTTGTTATTATGATTGGTTAGTTTTGAGCCACTTTCGTGCCATGATGTTGTTGTGTTGAGCAGTGTTATAAAAATGATCACAACAACGAATCACAAGGTCTAACATGTCATAGTTACGAAATAAGCTATAGATTATATCGTCTGGTGTAAAATCGTTAGATTAATGACAGATTTTCAAACTTGACAATTACAACACTCAAAGTAACGCCCATGCGCCATTTTCCATATATAATGCAAACATAAAGATACGGAGGTATGCTAGCGTCTATCTGATTGTCAGATTTACGATAGTAGGTTCAAATGTAATATCGTTACCCTGCTCTTAGAGAAACAACACCTATTACATAACATTTGCTATCATGGATGTGATATATGGCCTAGCCAAGCTGTGACCGACTGAATGTTCTCAATGTTTACATTGTGACGTCATAACTTTATGGCATTATATGCACTTTGACGTCACTTACGATGTTTGAAAGCCAATGTCACATCTTTTGTATATTAATGTTTACACGAATTTTGACTTCATATTGAAAATGAGACATGTCAGACAGTTGATATAGCCAATCATGTACATTTCAAATTATTCAAAGTTGAAAATTGAAAATCGTCAAAACTTAATAGAATATGATCCATTTACAACACTCCTATCAATTATGTATCAAAATAAATATTGCTATTAATTTAACATCTTGCGAAAGTATCTCACTCTCATTCGACTTCACTGTATGAAATAAAGTAAAAGCTTCCCAAGGAAAACATTTAACTTGTGGAATAGAGGTTGGAAAAGAAATACTATTAACCAAATGAGAATATAAGCATGGAGTAATGATACATTGTATTAGGAAACATGCTCTTATGTCACCCCAGAAATACCAATAACGACTGTAAGTTTTACATAACGTAACATATAGACGCAGGTATAGGTACTTCACAATTGACAAAGATTCTCCTTTCAAGCACATACATACATATACTTATAAACATTGATTTTTTCATACAACCTATGATATGAAAATATCTGAAAAGAAGATTAAGGATAGAGTTAATGCTTCATTTCTTTACAGTGAAATTTGAACATAAATAAAGGAATGTCGTAAATAGGAATTGTAAAATGGTATTAAAGAAGAAGAATAAATAATAATAAGAAAAGGAATGGACATTTATTTCAGTTTTCAATTTCAATGCCTGAGTTTACGTCGATGTTGTTTCATATTTAATATTATTTTTTTTGATAATTTTGTTGTCATCACTAAAAAAAATCTAGGAACTATTTTTAACCACCTGCATTTGTAAATCTCTTTGTAAAGACGTAAGTGCGATAAAACAATATAAGAAACACAATGTAATAAATTAGCTCACCTGATAATTAATATTCTTAATCGCTTTATCGTAAAAATACAAACACAGCATATACGAACAGAATATACTTACTTTAAATGAATCAGTTCACTTACCTGTACCTAAATTTCTTTGTTTCTGGGCACGGTGATGAGTTGAGTTTGGTAAATAGTATTCGTACGATGTTTATGAATATACAAATATTGATCTGAAAATTGAATAAACATGTCTATAACAATTTGAATAACAAAATTAAAAAAACAAATGACATGACAAGGTCGCAGCTATTTTGTTTTCAAGCAAAAAGTCGATAAATGTTAACCAGATAATAATGTATCGACTATGAAGTTAGTTCAATAAATAGTTCGGATTCCACTGTCTTGAATGGATATAAGTAAACAGTTTTTTTTGTTTAAATCTCATAACCATTTCTCATTGCATAAATAAGCTTTCAGTATCGCAAATATGTTTGCGAAAAGGGGTTTGACCTCGATATCATTCGTTCCCATTAATCGACATCAGCCATTAGATTCTTTCATTGCACGTTCCTAAAATGGTGAAGAAGCATAGCAGAAACTTACGACAGTGGTGGCAGTTATAGGTCCATATATAATCCATATTAACCATGGTTTGTCGTAGTATGTATTCCAACAACTGAATAAATGAAAATAGATTTCTTGAATTATATGCGTTTTAACTATAGGCTATGAAAATATGCATATTTCCTATAGTAAATACCCGTGTTTTAATCTTCAAATACTATTTTTTCTACCAATAATTGGTTTAATATTTCTTAAAGCATCATATTCCGCCTTACAATTTGATACCTGAAATTTTCATTCGTTTTATTCTGAAGACTAATTAGGTATGGTGTTATTGTTAAGGTATTATGCCTATAACGTCTTTCGCCCTGTTCATAGACAACATATTTAGAATATATACGTACTTTTCATTGTCTATCGTGGCTCTGACAACTGCCCATGGTATGATAAACGTCATCGGCAAACCTAAAACAAAATTATTCATCTATACTGATAATGTCTCATATAGTAAAATCCTCGAGTGAAAGACAAGCAAATGCATATCACCTTTAAATACAAAGACGAAGTGTACACTGCGTATACTGGTATAGGTTATCGTGAGCAAGATTTAACTATGAAATCAAGTTCCAACGAAATTGTATATATTGTATATAACAATATGTGTGTGTGTTTTTGAAAATCAAGAAATTTGAGCCCCACAAAATTATCGAGTATGTCGTATGATTTTATATCAGACCTTAATAAGAAAACAATTTTGTTAAAATATCAGCAAATGTCATATTTGAATTCTTGTGATATTGCTAAAAGTAGCTTATTGCGTCTGGCCATTCCGTTAATTATAGTGTAGTGCAGTGCTAGAAAAATGGAGAAATGATTTGATAACGTAAATGCTGTGAGTCATCTTAAAAAACAAATTGGAGAAAATAGTCACGTATTAATAAACCAAATAGATGCACGGTTTACAATATATACGAACTTTTCGTCCTTTTAAAATCTCGTGCAGCACAGACTCACAAAATAACTGGTGTATTTGTATCTCTTCTTCAGAATTCCATTATTCATTTCGACTTAATTGAATTTCATCAGCTGCCTGTTTCAATTATTGATGTATATTGCATCACTGAAGAGCCCTAGAAGGACGAGGCAACTGTATGATTCACAGATACAGGATAAGTCCTTATTTGGCTCTGAATTTGTATCGTAAGGTGATATTCACGTATGTGGTCTTTCTACAATCTTTTGTGGGGTTTTGCAATACGTTTACATATTACTGAAAGGATTTATTGAAATCTGAACCTTGAATTCCAACAACAAATGACAACGGATTAAAGTAAGTAAACATACACCAGCCGAGACCCATGAACCATTTCAGACGTCCTTTTTCTGAGAACACTGCTACTGAAATGATGACCTGGAGATAGAGAGCTTCCACGAAGATCCACACGTAACTCGCAGCTATGATGTAATTAAAAATTGTGAAGAACAGACGACACTCCCAATGCTGTAAATACAAAGTAAGTTTGATAGATATATACATACATGAAGATAGTATACATTTTGCAATATTCCTCTTGTTCCCATCTTTTCCATATTTGACTCGCATTTTATTTGCTCTCGGCCTGAATTAGAGTTTCGATGATATGTTTGTTTTTAAAAGGACATTTTTGTTTAATTTTTCGCACTGCAAAGACACATTAATTGTAAAATCTTTAACTTTTAATTTTTGTTTCCAGGTGAAATAATACCTTGTATACTCTACTATGCTCGTCTGGCAGGGAGTTCTAACAGTGTTTTCTATCCCAATTGCATGATCGTAAGTAGCGACTAGACTAAGGATCGTTATTCTCTTCTCTTCATAAATCGCGTTCGCAACTCCCTGTCACTTTCATGGATATACCCAAGAGCGAGACAAAAATATGTCCATCCAATCGATTGTTGTTACTCCGAGCTAGAACGTAACGTTAATTACTTGGTTTGACATATTTACATTGTTGATGAAAGAGAAAGCGCTTCCCCTTCCGGGACCTACCATCGTATTTTCCTTGTCATGAGTCTCAGTGAAAAAGATTTCTTTTGTTCATTTTTACCATGGTTTTGTTGAATTGTGATTAAATTCAAATTCGCTCGGCAAACCTTTGTTATCGTTTTTGTTTAGATACAATCTAAAATGTTATCGTTATAATGTGTTGGAGTGGGTTTTCATGCTACATTGTCCATGTTATGACTTTTCACTGTAATGACACTATCATCCGATTGCATGTAGCCCCAACCCTTTTTTAAATGACCTTGGATATTGCGATTACTCAACACCTGAAAAGATACTTGAGGGTGGATTCTACAAAGGTCTTTATTTATATATCCAGTCTAAGATAGTATAGGATTTAGGTTTATCTTCTACATAAAGTTTTTTAGAGAAACAATTGAACTCTGATAATCTGTAATCTATGTCTTAGTAGATAAGTTTGAGCTTCAGTTTTATGTTAAGTGGAAAGTTGTGTTTTCTTTTATTGAAATAGCTTCCATTGTATTAAAGAGTTCAGCTATGAACTGAAAGTTCTATAAACTTCTGGCATATAATTTCTTGTGTTACAGTATTAGACATTTAATCTTTTAATTTCTTCAGGAACAAACATATCCTTAGAATCACTAACAAAGCCAATTTCCTGACATATAAACAGGTCATATTATATAAGATATATGTTCCTTTATAAGAGAATATTCACAGTGATAAAATAACCGGTCTATATGAATATTTAGGAAATATATAGAGTAAGTATGTACCTCTCATGTCTTCTATTTACAGCGAATTGTGGAGAAAAAACTGTATGTGGTGAAAGTGTTTGCAAGTATAACTTATAGCACGTGCTGTCTGGTCCGTTAAAAAAAAGGGTTTGTAATAATCCACATTTGGATACACTATACGCACGAAATATGTTTCAGAAGGGAACAAATATGAGAAACTCGATGTTTTCTTGTCGGTATGATTGCTGATATTCTATATACCGGTCATAATTGCGTAGACGTCTTCAGGTGACAATTTATGAATGAGTTATTAAGACTGGAATTACCTCCGAGACATTGCTTATGACACAAAATACATTACACATATCACGTTCAGTCGATAGCCTTAAAACCAATTTCAGAAGCTAAAATTTACCGTTACAATATGAAAAGAAATATCGGTTGCTCAATATTGGAACAAAACTCATTTCTTACGTCTATATCTTTGGAATCAACAGTTAATTGGGATTCAGTTAATCGTCTTGCCTATGTACTATATTATTGTCTTGAAATGATTTATGGTGTCATGATCTGACAAAGAGAACCTCATCGCTGTTTAAGCACAGGGAATATATTATCAGTACAGAAGGGCAGCAACCGAAGTAAGACTATGAGAAATTTAAAGAATCGCCAGACATGCTTGTAGTCAAGTACACATTAAAACGTATCTACTATACTGATGATTTATTTCAGTTCCAACAACCCATCAATATTGCAGTGATTTGTCATACAGTGCAATGCTATAAAATGGAATACTGTAAACGTACTTGTTTTTGCGGAAATCTTAATTTCGCGGTTTTGGTTCTTAGAGTTTCGATATGTTACCTAAGCAAATGCATTGTATAACATACATACAAATAAAAATTGGGAATAACATACAGTAGACCCCGATAATAAAGTAAACAGCTTCATACAGCAGCTACTAGAACTTGTCAGTGGTGTTCAGGGTTTAAGATTTGAATCATAGAAGGTGACAGAAGAAATAAAAATTGATCGGCAAAAAAAGTCAAAATACGGTTAAGTTTATAATTTCCATATATTGTACGACTAAAAAGAATGTCATTATTGTGTACATTTTGAACGGAAATCGACTGTTAAATAACGTCCCTTAAAACGTATTTGGCCATAAACAGTGAAGACGGAAATACATGTGTCTATCACGTACTTTACAAGAATTGAGTACCGCGGTATCCAAATAATAAGTAACCAGCTTTTACATTAAAGAAACATAATGAACCCTCACATGTGTCATAATCGTTATATATTTTCGGTTAATGCTTTCTAACTTTCTTGAATTTCTCACTTTTTATCTCCAGAATTACTTGTACAAATACACGGAATGATCTGTTCGATGCTGTTTGTTTTTATTAATGCTTTAATGTTCGTTTCCTAATGGCTCTTTAAAGGTTTTATATGTATCGATTGTATTCAATGTTTCACAGTTTCCTGTTGTCAAACATTATCAAACGTTATAAAAATTACATGAATGACAGCATTTCCATAAAAAATTAAGAAATAATTCGTACTTTCTATATGCTATTCGATCAGACTGTGAAATTTAAAATAGTGTTGGTATCAAGGGCGTAAGGAGGTCGTGACAGACTGATGAAATGCTTTTGAATTGTGAAATAAAACATCTGTCAATATTCAATGTTCAAAACAACACGAAAATACCAGCACGTCAACATAATTATAATTCAATCTCATATTCAACCAAACAAGGGCAAAATATGAACAAAAGAAAGATTTCCATGGAAACTCATGACAAGAAAAAAAAATTAAGTAAAAGAAAAAGAAAAAGACCATGTGTTTCGGAAGTGTAAGCGTCTTCTACTTCATCGACGATAAACGCCATGTAAGCCATAGTCAATCCAGGAACTTTGTAAGTTATGTCACGTCCAGTAGAAATATTTAATTGGTTATTACCAGTTGTTAAAGAGAACATAATTCTTGTCTTTATACTGACCATAAAAACAATAAAAAACAACGGATTTCATATTGTTTTTATCACGTGACCAGAAAAGTTATAACCTCATATATCTTACCGAAACATCGGGTAGAAATACGATGCCACCATCTTCTTTCTTTACGTCTGAAGCAAAACCGACATTTTCAATCAGTATATTTTCTTTCACAAAGGACACGCCCCCTCGGAGAATGAATGACAGAAATAGATTCAGATGGATGGTGTTTCTGGAGCAGTGCAGCTTCCTGAGTGAGCAGAAGATAAGTAATAAGTTTTTAAAAATTTGATATATGCTATTGCAGACAACAAATCACATAATATTAAGTCAATATGATATCGTATCGTAAATTATTCGTCAATGTTTTATTCACAGAATCTGAGAAATAATCTTTAGACGTCATCTTTTGTATGGTGTCCTTTACCGAAATCAGTTTTAAATCATTATCTTCTTACGCCATCACTTTGAAGTCGTTATTTTTTTACGACATCGGTTTGAAATCATTATTTTTCTTCCGACGTCAGTTTACAATCATTATCCTCTTACAACAACTGCTTGAATCATTATTCGTCACTTACTTGAAGTAGATCATGATGAAGACAGCAATTACCAATGACGTCATCGATAGACCGTATCCTATGTTATACATTATCCGCATCTCCTGCATGTATTTCTGTAAGGAAATATATAGATTTATCTCCCTTTGTAAAAAAAACCCTTTAACCTTTAAACCAACACGATTCACGCCCAATTTAATGAAATATCACCTTTCAGATACATTATGTCGAGTTTCTTATATAAGTTAGGTTTTTTTTTCTGAAATTCTTTATTCAAGAATGAGTGAATGGTTGATTGAATATTCTCGTATTTTGATATATAAAGAATGGAAGGGGTATTAGTCCTCTTTGAATTCATGTCTCTATTCTTCCATGGAGAGGAAGTTCGGATATTTTCCCTAGACTCAAAACAAGACAATTATATAGTTTCTTTTTTCTGCAAATATATCGATATAACATTCCATGTATTTTCCATCATTCAATTATATTTCAAATTTCTATAATTAAAAAAATCTGACGTGGGTCAAATTAATGTGAGTTTCAGTATATATTTTATGGGGCTATTTCTCGGCATACACAGTTTGATAAAACACATTAAAACATTTTGCTAGCTGACCTTGCATATAGTTGTGAACATCAAAACAAACATATAGTCCATAACTCCGCACTCTCTTCCCTACTTCTAACTACATCGTTTGATCCTGTTTATCTGGTGTTTCTGACTTGCACATTTTTATAAAGAATAAAAAACTTATTTCAAGGATAGATCAACACGTCTATCAAACACTCAAGATGTCCTGGTGGTTCCTAAAACCTGATGGCATCTTAACAGTCATAAAATATAATCGGCTCTCCGTTAACAAACAAAGAAAATAAATCAAGACAGCGCGATTTTGGTCTTCGTAAGATATATGCCTTTAAAATGAGGCAAGGGAAATATTTGTTATCGCACAAATCTCGGCAAAATACCGCGAGATTTCTGAGCAAGTGACATAACATAACATTGGAATATGTTGCTGAAAAATCCTGATAGACCGTAAAGCTGAAACGACACATTCCTTACTGAACTAAAATGAACTGAATATCCGTCACGTCATTGCTATGCTTTATAATTCCTTTGAACTATTTATTTACGTTTACATTAAGTGACTAAGGGGTTATGTCATCTGTGAGTGGTGGAGTTACAATATAATAAGTGCTGGTATTTGATGTGTTAGAACAATAATGATGTAGGTATGAAATAATCAAGAAAACGTAAAGAACCTGATATACGGCATTGCTGATTTCTGTCATTATGTTTATCTTTTATTTCTAATGTGAATACCAGCTGTAACTCTATCTGGATTTGCAGTGGAATCAACAATCAAAGATACGAAAATAAGTATATCACAACGTATGTGTTACAAACGACTCCATTCTAATAATGTGTTTATTGCCATCTCCATTTTCAAGCCAGTGTGAAGCAATGTTATCGGTAGGCCGTGATTATAAGAAATGAAGTGCAGCTTCGAAATGTCCCCAATCGGTAGCCTGGCGGGGAACCTTTATGAATATTAAAATTACACGTGTTTTTAAGACAGGTTAACTGTAAGTTATTTGTTGACGATGGATAGAACAAATCCACACTGGAACTGTTTGCCATATTCATCATCAAGCTCTCTTGAATGCTTAAATATATTGTAATGGAAACGCGTTCTTGTGATTGTTTAATGATCAGTTTGCATGTTGGCAGTAAATTTGCTAAGCACACAAACATTCCTACGACACTTCATTGTGCGGCTTGTATCCAGGACTAATAAAGATTCTAAACATTCGAAGAAACAGCTAGTGTTATCAAAACCTCCAGACTTGATCATTTGTTAGTAAGCAAAGCAGATAAAACGGACAAATGAGATCGGCCTAGGTCAAAAGAGTCCACGAAAACGTCATTACAGCCCATCCTGATGTCAATAATGTAACAGAGAAACACGTAATCTCTCTATTTATTGTCTATTGCATTTCGAAGACGTATTTCAAGAACTATTTTGGCTGTCATGTCCTGTTGATAGAATAACATTTCCTGTGGTATATCTATGAGAGACGCTTTATAGTGAGCATGCAAATATATTTTTCCGAACATCTGAATCAATGTGATTTTGATTCCGTGTTAGTCATTATAATTAAAAGCAACTTTGTTGTAAAAACGTTTTCATTAAGCACTATCTAAATATTTTTTTCCGAAAAAGGCAAGAAATTGAAAATTGAAGCATTTTTATTTCAACGCTGCTTGCTGTTTGACTATGATGTCCTAATATGCTATAAAATAGCATTCCAATAGCACTCTGAATTCTTCTATAGATATATATATAAATTTGCACTAGATACTAAGATTGCATCATACATTATTGTGCAGATACATTAGGCTACACAAGAGAATGAAATAGTCGACACGAAAACTTGCCAGCTGCTGTATCGCCAATAATCGGTGGTATGAAATGATCAATCAACTGATATAATGGTACAATGATATACGTCTGACCCTTGTGGAGAATAGATTGACAAAAGGATAGAACAAATCGATATACATCATTAAATTGCCATCACGATACGAATATCTCGCGAAAGTTAATCTAACAACTTCATTTGGTTGTCGTCTGTAAAATGTGTGAAATTTCCTTATATGATGAGCTTACATATTTAAGGTAAAGGTTATACATTAAAGAATCTGTGTTGTAGTCTTTTTGACCAAAAATGGTTTTGCAGTCTAAAAAAACCAAATCTGAAATTGACGTAGAGAGCTGGTTTAGTGTTTTTCCCGATGTGATTGTAAAAGTATGCAGGAAAAATATCTCGATGTCCGTGCAAGATATCAAAATAACAAAAAAAAAAAAAAAAAAAAAACTTGGTCTGGGTGATGCAGGTGATAGCAAAATAGTCGTTTTTCTTTACGATATGAAGCTGGACGTGTTTGCTTCTCGCTGGTTCAATGTTAAACTTGTTATCGATTGAGAAAGTGACATTACTTTCTTGGATAGACCACGATTTACATCTCAATTTACGGAAGTCATCAATGAAACAGAATACGTTTATTCCTTTCATGCTTATATAACACGGATCACCACTCGACTCAACGACATCAGGTGTTGCAGTGGTAATGCACTGGCCATTCACATAGTCGTCCGGGGTTCGATACCCGGAATGGATGTGAAAAAGTATGTTGTCACCTTTCCAACCACTTTTCCTTCCCCCGGGTACGTACCTCGGTTCTTCTCACAGTAAGACCCTTCGCGCGCTTCCATTCGGGTCAACAAGAGTGATAAATATAAGTTGGAAATATAAGCTTCGCAATTTTTGTAAAATATATAAAGCTTATTATTAAACGACAGCTGCTGAATACCTATATCGTAAATAAATAAACATCAGAACATGTATATACTCTTATCGACGTATCTGCTTCCGTCTGATGCTAAATTTAACGTAACACTGTCAAAAGCATAACCTACATCTTTCTGGCAGAAAAAAAGAAAGTTGATTCAATCTGGGCGGTGTCTCAAGATATATCATATTGTGATACACACCATTCGTAAAATTCCACACAGCCTCTTTTAAAATGTTGTAAACAGGAATACGGGGGATACAGAGGAAAGATAATGCTGATAAGAAAGTGAAAGCGAGAGCAATTTAATCACCTTATGGCATGACTTATAGAAGGTCACATCAAACACATGCAATATGCAATGTTCATCATATTTTTTGGGCTTATACTTCCACTTTTTGAATTCACATTGTAAATGTTATACTCACAGCAAACGACTTTGGAACTGTCCAGCCATTGTCATTACTAGTTTCGCAGGCAGAGAAGTTGGTCCATGAAGAGTTGAATCCAGGTTTCATGTACCATGTTCCGTCCGGCATACACATACGAGTAGCATTCTCTGAAATACAAAACGATATATTTAATGTCTGATTTGTGTAAAAGATTTTTTGATGGTTTAGATTTTCGCGGGTTCACCTTGAAATAAAACAATGCGTTTTTCGGAAGTAATGGAACGACCAATGGATTGCTTGAGTTATTTAACTTTAAATTTCGCCCCCCATTTCGGCACAAAACAAATGAAAAGTTGCTATCACATGAAATGCTTACTAGCATTATATACATTAATCTGGTACAAAAAAGGCAGTAAGAGTAATTGATGAGTGTAAGTTAGTATTCGGGAGTGTTCAGTTATACATGAAAAAGACATTCACTGTGGACAAACGTTACATTTGTGTGTAATAAAATATTTCTCCTGCTACATAATAAACAAAAATATCGAGCATTAACGAAATAACAACATGTAGCAGTCTGTATTTTATCAAACCGGAAATAAATGCTTGTAAACATATACATCAGATTAACGTGAAAACTATACATGAAAATTAAGAAGAAGCTAAAATTTAAACGGTTGGTAAATGTTCGAAAATGCCTCTTAATGACGTAAAACGTGAGAACTTGAATGAATTATTTTTCCTGCAATTTTATTTTCCCCTCAAGCCGAGAGTGTATCATAGCGTCATGCTGTTTGAGGTTATTTCACACAGCGAAATTATCTGAAAATGTGTTTAGGCTGGGTTTTATCAATGATGGGAGGGTAAACCTATTGATAAAGGAGAATTCCAAAAATATAAACTAAGCCAATTTGTTGATAGCTGGTTCAGCACATGCAGAGAGAAGGACAAGGTAGTCGCAAAATACAAGGATCCTTATAGTACTATTTGTTTGGTATGAAATAACATTGAAAGTAGCCAATTCAGAAACGAAATCAGATATATATCGTTATCTTTATTATAAAATTTGAAAACCATTTAGCAATAATTCATGTCTAAAAGGTTTTATCTAAAGACACACACGGTGATACTTTGGGTCAGATTACAAAGAAGTAACAAAGAAGTTATTTTGTTTAAATGTCTAATTTCCCAAGATGATAGATGTTCATCTATAAAATAGAATAAAACGATTGATGTATACTTAATTTTATTTCAAGAGCTTCTAAACCCATTGATGTATGTGTCATTAAACGAAAAGGCTCTCCATATTTGTTTTATTTTCTTTGTTTTTGATTTTATCTCAATCGGATGCATTTTACATTAGATGACAACAATAAATACTTACGTATATAGTTGAATTTTGCCACGTATTTTGGACAAGGCTGAACTGCCAGTGTACCGGGTTCTGTTGGTGCCCAGCACATTATATCGTCCCATATTCGCGGGCATTTTAAGGAGTCGTCTGCTGAAAAAATAGATAAATAAAATAAACGCTTCTTCTGCTTCATCGACGACACCCACCAGGTAAACCTTGGTCAATCTAAGAAAGTAATGTCACGTTCTCAAAAGGAGAACAAGGTATACGACATTGGAACCACCTGGCAAACTAACGAGCATTTAACACGGCCAGCTTCATATCGCACAAAGAATTAGAATATTTTTCGATGAGATCACTATGGCGACCCGACCATAAAACTTCTCCATAATATTCATCAACCTGTATCTTTTTAATGCCTGTGCCAACAGTTTATCCGTCAGTTGACGGCTTCTTTCATGAGAGTTAAACCTTAACATAAAACGTATAGCTATTGTTCTAGTGAAGTGTAACGCAAACAGTTTGTGAATCCTTCAGCATGTGCATGGCACAAGCAATATCGTACGTATTCTATTATGCAAATGTTCCTTTCGTGGAAGACAATATTATAATATCAATTAAATCAAGGAAAAGTATTCTAAAACTGATCACATAAACAAACACATCCTGCAAGTTTTCAAAATTGCGATTTCAGAAAGTTCTTCAAAATCGGTTAAATTGGAAAACCATATAAATAATTCATTGAGTGATGAAAGTGATTTTTTATCATCATTGAAAAATGCTTTAAATATCACTTTTCATCGACTTTTATTTTGAAATCCGTACAACTGCAATAACATTTACGAATTAACTTTTGACAAAATGTCACGCAGGTTTTATTTTCAATTTGTCGTGATGCTAATTCCATTTTAACAACTGTACCAGTCATATATGTATGTCATGATGTTCACAATGCCATTTGGCAGCAATTCATTTCAGCCTTTGGCCTTTATTGTGTTGATTCCAAATAAGAAAAGGGAAATCAGTCCTGTAAAAGCCTGGTGGATTCACTTAGAACAAAGTCTGATTGTCGTTAATTGGACCATTTTCACACCAATGCAGATATGCTGACTCGTTAAGGATAATTAAAATGGGCGGAGGTGGCAACTAACGCATTTTGCTTGAGAGGCTCGAAACGAATTACCGAAACAAATTACAAGTGATGAGAATCATTTATTTTTTCCTCTGGTGGTTGGGGCTTTTTAAGTAGTAATTTCTGACAAAACTCTTCATGAGTGAGGATGTGAGCTGTGACATAAAGGATATTGTAAATGATCATTGCTTATCTTCTTTGGTTCCCATTGTGTTTGAGATGGGAGGGACAAGTTAATTAGGTCAAGGGATCGAAGCTCGGTTTCTTTTCTGGTCTGGAACGTCTACGTTTGTCATAATTATTGTACTGTCGATTTCTCTTGCATCAACCCTAAAACAATTCCATTATTTGTTCAAGACGCTGTCATGATCAAGCAGAAAATGAAACTGTAAGCCTAATTGTTCAAACTCCACAATGACCTTGATTCTATCCGCCAGAAACTAGTAATTAAACTGGATCTATTTTTTCAGATTTTACAGATGTAGTTGTCGTTCTTCTAGAATTATCAGGTATATGAAAATTCTTAGTGGACTTTTTGGTTAGATTTTGAAATCAATCGAATCGAATTTTCCTAAGTCGCCACATCGGCTGTGTGCCCTTAGCAACACTCTTACAAGAAAGAAGCTGCTGTATGATGCTGTTTAATTCATTGTTTGGCCATGCTGTTTCTAACTATCAATTTGTATAAATAGGTGCTATTCAATTTCTTGCCTTTTTACAATCTTTTAAACCAGATACCAGTCATGGAGTTAGAATGAAGTATTCTTGAACGGGAGGCCGTGATTTATTTTCTGTATTTTATAGACAAAATATCCTTTTCTACTTGGTTGATCGTCAAATTCTGCTGTAGTACGGTAACGGCAATCAGTTAAAATTATAATCATTTATTAGATGGAAATACCGTTCCCAATATTCGACATAAATGGAATATCAAATGATTTCCGAATGTTATATGATATCTCGACAAACATTGTTAACATGCAGACTCTACAAGTTTATTCAATGTTCTTATCATCGTTCACTGGCACGCTGTATCTTGTTAAAGGGACTAAATGGTTAGATATTCATTTTATAACTGATAAAAAGCATCATAACTTTAAATATATGCCAAACATTGTGCAGTTTAGGTTAATAATGATATATTAAAATTTGCATAATCATTTTATTAACAACGTCAGCGACCCAAGACTAATTTATATCATTATCGTACTTAGAGTGTAGACAATGTCATGAGTTTAGCGGGAAACAGGAAGTCATTTTGCAAAGTAAGAATTGAAATGTGTTTGGCAAATTAAGTTGAGATTAATTACGTAATTATACGTAGTAAGAAATTAAAACGGCGGGTTAAAACAAAGCTCCGAAAGATCACGTGACGAACTCGGCTATCCCCGATCAAAACTGCGATGGGTGGTAGACACAACAGCGAGTGTCGACTAGCGTTAGTTTGAAGCTGGTAATTTTCATCAATGTCTCTAAGAGAGTGCTTTAATTTTGTGAAGAGTCTAATTTCAAGTATTACAAAGTTTGCCCGAAATCAAACGCATTCAGCCCTTTTAACGAAATGTGAGTAGAAGGGAGAGAAAACAAATAGAGATTAAGTAAAGAAGGCAGATAACGATCTGTCAGTATAATATATATGATGTGTTCGAGGGTCTTGTATAGATTAACAGGGGTGCAAAAGGAGCCTAATGTCGCAATAGTTTTATATACAAAATAGATCAAAGGCACGTGTACAGTTCTATGGATTTATCATGCAATATTCAGTGAAAGAAACGTTAAAGATTGCACACTCAACGATTTATCCCTAGCTCTTTCAGAACTTAAAACAAGTCATAAACAAAAGAATAAGGAACGGAAATCCTAGGATTTGGAAGAAAGGTCACAATAGAGGGAAATCGTGGTAGAGGAATGCACCGGTTATTATCAAATTTGATTACTTACTTGAATTAGATTTGCCGTCGAGGAGAGTGTACCCAATACAACGGAATTTCTCTTTGTTCAATGCCTTCCTCTGTGTTTCCTGGTCTTGGATAACATTCTGAAAGACGGATGTTAAAGGTGAGAAGATAGAGGTCAAATTATAAGCATCAGTAGTTGTTATTTCCATTATTTCAGTCAGAGTTCTCTGAGTAGTGAATATAAATTGTAATCAACGTCATCACTCCTTTAGATATCATAGCACACTTGGAGTATAAAATGTCATCACTGGAATCAGACGAAGTCTTTCATATCTACACTGGCACATAAGAGGCCTGTAGGTACTATTCCACCATATATAGTACAAGTAGTAGCTGCTAAATACAAAAATCCATCCCTCTCGGTGGATGCGCGGAAACCTTTCTAAGGAACAAAAACGTCGCGCCAGTCACATTTATGGACAATTATGACTATTATTGCGAAACACACTGACATTTGAACGGAAAAAATAAACCCCGACGTAATTGTGAGACAGCAGAGGAAGAATTATCTACATTGATGGAACACTCCCGGTGAAATAAGGTCATCACAAGGTCATCAACAGTTCAGACCTAATTTGCAGCTATTTGGTCATTCCCTCCTTTTATCGATGAATAAATCTGTTAATTATTTTAGATCCAATACGTTATGAATTTCATTTGTTGACTTTTATTTCAACAAATGACAACAGTAAACACTTCAACTTCCGGTGACGTACAACAAATGTGATATTTGTTATATGCTTCTCAGGGACGTTTAAACTATCCAAACAGATAACATTATCTCCATTGAGGATCATCGAAACTGACAGTCTGAACTAGAATTTAGGTCTAGAATCTCACTAATGAAACATATATATGTTTCATGTTTAGAACATCTCTCCAGCAGCGGATGGCATTATTTCCAGGGAAACATCAGAAGTACCGGAAACGATTCCTCCGAGCAATGGTGTATATTACATAAAACGGTCAGTTGATATCAATTTCCTCTTCTCGTAGTAAGGTGTGTGGTCGGAATCTGGTTTGTAATGGTCAAGTATTTGTAGTGAAGTATATATATATATATATATATACATGTAGCCTGTAGGAGAGAGGGAGTGATCACATGATGTCTCTGTGTATTACAATACGGCCTCGGGATCGACAAGGTGCTCGCCAGCTAATTACAAACAATCAACTCGGACAGGTGAAACTCATAAAGGTCAACAAAGCTATCATCACCGACATCATCATAAACACATGCCTCTGCTGGTCTTGATTACCAATCTTAATAAAAACAACTTAACATGTTTAAATCAACATGAAATGCGCGCGTGACCAAACGCTGGCAAACTCAAACACAACCAGACGCCACTTTATGGTAAACACCACCCAAAAGAAGATTTTTCAAACAACCATATGCTATTCATACAGGTTTCGAGAGTAGATAACTATCCAGAGTCTGTATATTTAACTTGTCTTAAAAATCAGATGTCAAAGTAAATGCTGACAAGAATTTATAAACGTCTGCTTCTTTAAATCAAATAATATTTAGATAATTATGTTTTCACCACATAAACAAACACTTCAGATTGAGGATACCAATGTGACTCGTTAGCTATACCTATGAACTATCAATCAAAATATTTACTGTGAATGTGTGTTCGACTTTTCTTCAGTATCAATACTTGTCTGAACATCCGGTCTAACGCCTATTCTGGACTGCAAACGGTTCGAAATGGATTTAAACAAATCTCAATATGAGGCAATGTAAGGAGTGATTTCGAAAAGTAAAATCGGCAAATGCTGGCGATGTGATATTTGAATTTGCTCACAACTAAAAGTATCGTGTTTGCAATTCTACCCGCGGGATATAACAATATAACGGCAGTCTTATCGAAACATCACGTTGCTTACATTTTTTGAATGGTTGATAAACGAAAACTTTTTCAGCCAACAAACCTGTATGTAAATCATCAAGGCAAAATTAAAACGAGGTTAACAGTTAACGTCACACATCATGGTACTGGTGCATGCAATATGTATTTAAGAGGATGTAAGAGGACATCTTATACACTTGTATCTTATTATCTCACAGATTAAATCTTCGCGATCACTTTAATTTACCGCGAAATAGTGAAAATATCATTCGTGCGAAAATAACCGGCTAAGCAGTATTATTAAACTGAAGGTAATGCATCGATGTGCGTAAGTTACACTCTCATAACATTCTTAAATTCCAAACTCATTTTGAAATTTGTTTTAAATGGTGATAACATTGGTTAGAAGTACACGTAAAAGCAGCGTTAATAGACATTGGTAATTTATCATTCTTTGCTCAGAGTTAATTAAATATCGTCTATACATAAAACTACTGGAGCTTCAGAGATAAATTATGCAGTCAAAACTTATGATGTGTTAACACGGGTAACTAATAATGTTAGATTGCTTCTAAAGGGCCCGAAATTAACGTAGTCAACAACATCGGAACAGAAATTGTATGATACTCGTTAAAAGATTATTAGGAAAGTTACAATCTCAATGAGCAGGATAAATCAAACTGTTCTGTGACGATTTGTTATCAAAATGTGCTTACGATTCTCAATATTTTTAAAGTAGGGAATAGAATAATTCTTAAACGAATGAGAGTTGTTACAACAATAACTACCTATTGAAATCTGTTACGCTGTTTTGCGAAATTACTACATGTATAATGATTTACAATAGATTGTTAATGTATGGAACAAAATCATATCAAGACGTATGTTCCACTGTTAAGGTAAAGTGTAATGAAAGTATTTATCGCGACATAGCTGGACCCCGTAATTCCAGATACAGCTCATGTTCAGGTTGTCACATTTCTATCAGCATCGTGTGAAAGGGTTGTGGCTTGTAGCTTATCAGATAAAACATCTCGACGAGCAGTGGCGAGAGAGCGCCGTCGCTGTTCGGAGCAACTTGGCGTATTGGAGAGAGCGCGCTGTAAACGATAGACTCTCTTATCTATTATTGTCTAAACTTACCAATAACTGTCAAATTACTGGATAATAATAGGTTATATCGCATTTGTAATGCCATACTTTAACCTCTGATATAAAATTAGAGACGAAAGCAGCAAAATAACGGACGAAAATTCCGTGTTATTTTCAGGAACCGTTGAAATAAGAATTTGATTTCAAATGTGCAATCTGTACTGTGTATCAGATATGTTTTATTCTGGCGTGTCATACAATGTCAACAGTTCAATTCTCATTCGTCGTCTCCATTCGAACGTTGCTTTGAACGCATTTCAAAATGTCTTAACATCTATTCTCATTAAAGACCAAAAGGTCACGACAAACTGCATTAAGTCTTTGGTGTAGTTAAGTAATAAAATAAATGAAAGACTAGTCACTATGTTAACTGACTATACCGGACAACGTCTTTGGATCAACTGACCATATCCAGAGCCATTGATCTATTGGTGGGTCGTTTTTAGGCGTGCCACCAATGTTTCCCTCCTACACACAGTATAACATTACCAGATATATATGTGCAAAACATTCACTAAGCTAAATTACACATTCCATCCGTGCCAGGATCAGGTAATGTGATTCTGTGAGTATGTATTACACGTGCACACGATTTCATAGTAGTAATGAATTATTTATCTCACTCATCAATTAAAAGGTGACACTGGAAAAACATAAATAGCAACTTAAAGTTCAAGCATGTGGACAACAATAACAGCTACCGATAAATATGATAATTGAATACGTTACGCTTTTGGGTTTTACATAAAACGCAGTTACTTCAACTTCCCCGAAATACTCCAGCAGAGTGAAGTGAAATAGTGCCAGCATTATGTAACTTGAATAGTTATTTCATGCAGAATTTCCAAACAAAATATTCAAATTGGATAAATCGTAGGCCTGACTGTAACATAACATATACAAGTTAATATTTTTAAGCAGCATACACCGCACTAGGGTTTTACTAGAGAATTAGAGATAATTGAGAATGTATTACTATAGAGTAACATGCAGTTTATGTGCATTTGCATTCAGTATGGGTATAACAATAATGCTTTGTCCATTATGTACAATAAATATTTGAGTCGAAGGGTTAGCGAAATGACGACAGCTTTTTAAAAGGAGTCCATAGAATTATAGTTTTTTCTAAAGATACTGCGACGTCTGTCAACAAGTATCCACTCCCCACCTAACCCCCGCCCCTAAAACCAATACAAAACTTCTAACAAGTCCAACGAGAAGGAGAGGTTTTAATTCAGGCCTAATGGTGTTTATTTTCTTAAATACCTTATTTCCAACTACCATAGGATACATACGTATGAAACGAAGTAGTGAACCACACCGGACTTTCAAAGTCCTAGAAGGACCAAAGAGTGGCATGGTTTGGCTTCAATGTATTTGATTCTAATGTTGTATTGAAAGGTGTGATTCATTTCTGTGAGTTCTGTTCAGTCTGCCATTTCGAAATCCAATGGAAAAAGAGAAAGATAAAAGCATCCATGTATGATATGTATGATTGCTTGGTAACCTCATAATTTCAAAATCGCTCGATTGACGCGCCTTGATAATTATAAGATGTCGCCTTTTTTCGAATATGGATGTTTTATGTCCTTTTTTAACATTTGAATTATAAACCGCTCATTCATTCTTCTCTGTATATCCCAACGGACATTTCAGATGACATGAACAAAATTGAAAGAGAAAGCAACAATTCATAGCTTGACATTTGAAACTGTGCGATAACGATTTAAAATACATTTAGATGTGTCTGTTCTGGCGGCAAATTACTGCTTGATTCCTGTAAATTGTTACTATGCAATCACACTTATAATTATATTTTTTTCCAAGCTGAAATACAAAGTTGTGTCTTTCTGTTACAAATTGTTCTTATGAAGACAACACCCCTAACTACTCGTTTCTATTTTTAGATCAGGAGTGCTTTGTTCCTGTGGTGACTTGTTGGTTCTTATTTGAGGATGTGACACCATTTACTTTGAGTGACTAAAATTTTCGTGTTGATGAAATAGAACAAGTTTCTTATTCTTTTTCGAATAGGTGAACCTTAAAACATTAAAATTCAGAGAGACAAAGGT